ACTTGGTATTGTTGTATATCTTCTCATCACAATAATACGGCATGAATCGCGATCTTTACAAGATCATTATGAGAGAATTCGTAACGAGCAATCCCTTTTTTGCAGCAATGACCAACGCCAAAAGCACGCCGCGAGACATACGACGAACGATGACGAACTGGCCAGACCGTGGCCAAATGGCAGTTCCGTTGATACTTTTACGATAAAACTGGATGTTATATTAATACTTTGTTCGTAGGCGATAACAATGAGCAGAGAGAAAAAGGCTTCTAAGCTTAACCGGTGTTGAAGATCCCTCGGATCGTAATTGCCGCTGCATCCGCTTAACATTTGGACGTACCTTTTAACTTGATGATAAATCTCAAGTGCAGAACGTTGATGACTGAAGTTCTTGTAAAAGAAATATGAGAGGAATGAATTTAATGGTATCTTCATCTGTAAACAAATCCTGGAGAAATCTAGTTGGATACATTCCTTCGGGACGACTTTTGGAGGTAGCGAAGCGAATGAGAGCCTAGTACGCACATTCAGGCTGGCTGTCACGCAAGTTTTGTTAGATCCCTTTATGGAATCCCCGTATAACGACACTTTACCAGGTGCGGAAATGTTGAATCTGTACATTTTTTTCGCAAAAAATATTTCTAATATCTGAAAATATTTCTAATATCTGAAAAACTGACGTAATGTCTGAGTGATCGGATGTATATCGATAATATTGCTCGTAAGGATTTATTATTTTTCTCGTGATACGTCAAATCAATGCCGTAAAAAAGTCCGATCGCGGAAAAGATAATCATCAACTTATCATCAACTCGTTAATGATTAATAAAGAAGATTTAGCATTCAACTCTTCACTTCTTGACCTCTTATTTTCTTGTCGTTAGCAAAATAACATTAGTCTTCTTTCTTTTACAAAGGCCTGCATCATACAATTTTAATTATTGTAATTTCGTAAAAAGTCCAAATTTAATATTAATACAAAAATAAACAATAAGTAAGAAACAAGTAAGTAAGAAAAGAAATATAATAATATTGAAATAAAAAAATATTGAAACGCTAATTTATATTTAGATCAGAATGAGAAATTTCATCAGAATAGTATATAAATAATACTTACATAAAAATAAAGAATTTTTTTCAAATTCAAAATAATAATTTAATTTGTTGCAGTTAAATATACAATTAAATAACTACAGTTTATAAAAACAGTCAAACAAATTAATCTTTCGTCTCTGTTAACGTACGTGATACTGCGGACATTTTCAAAGACATTATTATAGCAACATGAAAAATAACAATTTTTTTACAACATCATATGACTTATGATTTTAAAATGACAATGAAAATATATACAAATTTAAATATTAATATAATTTTTGATCGTATATAGCTCGTCTAATGAGCAGTAATAGTTAAATTAAATTTTGTTAATTATAATTTTAACACACATATATATAATACGTATACATAACAGAAATTTATCAATTTTAACATTACTGTCAGTGTATATCCACAAAAATTCAATTTAAATATACAAAAATATACAAAAAATTATCCGAAGATTAGTCATTTTAAAATAAAGAAGCATTTTTCTAACTGTTTATATTTATATAAAACTCTTCTTTTCCACAATTTGCATACTATAATGCAGTTATGTTAATCATTGTTTAAATTTCGAATATATCAAATTGTTTACTTCGATATGTTATTCAATTCTCACTTACTGTACTATCCATATAAACTGGTTAAAACTGTAGGAAAATTATGCAATTCATATTCTTCTAAAAGTTGTTTTAATGGTTTTGTCTTTGATATTCGATAATAATAAAATGAATATATATCCTCTATCCCTCTATCTATGCCTGTCATCTTTTCCTTTAACAAAAACTTTCAGGCAATTGCATAAATAATTTATATCTTCATTTGACATACCTAATGCTACGAGTAATCCTTGATTTATGTTAATGAGTTCCTGGAAAGCATACGTTAAGAAATAATTTAAATTTCCAACAAATACATAAGGGAATCTGCAAAACATTCTTGTATAAACACACGTACAAAATAATATTAAAATTTGCGATATTAAACTTACTGATAATTTTTGATTTAGTGAATCTGTAAATCGATAGAAAATGATTTTCATATATTAGCATGATTTAGCTCTAATTTGTTTAGCCAAATATAATGTCGAAGAATTTAATAAATTCTTTCAAATATAACATTTATAATAGATAATACTTTTTTAATAAACCTATATCTATATCCGCAAGAAGAATTTTTTTTATATTTACACATTTTTTCAGACTAACATTCGAAAAGACCAGCAAGGTTCTCATATTCGGAAAATCAGAATATTTTACATGTGTTAATGATTTATTGACTTCAGTTATCGAGTTTTATGCAGCTACGAGAGTTTTAATAGCCTTAGTGGCATTCACCTCCTGTAAAACATGATTTTTTGGTGAACTGTCCAGATTTTCTTCATTGGTTAATTCCGAAAATATTTTTTCGGTAAAAGTGGCTATAATAATCATTTATTTCTTCGATAAAAATGAGCAAGTAAAAGAATGCTTGTAAATTTAACCAGTGATAAGATGGTCGGGTTCATATGTGTTGTTAAAAAGCTGACAAAATATTTTATTGCGTCATAAATGTCATCCAGTGTTAGCTTTATAGATGATATTAAAGAAGACTTTTTTAAGAATTATGTTCAGAGGTATCTTCACATATAAATTGATACTGAAGAAATCGAGTTCGATATATTTTGCCGGAACAACTCTTGAAGGTATGCGAAGAAAAGTTTAGTATGCAGATTTAAGTTGATCACTATAGCAGATTTTGCACATTCCATGGGATGGGATCTCCAAGATGTAAATATATCCTGTGTGGATATGTTGAATTTGCATATATCTCTTACTGAATAAAAATTTCGGTAAATTGACGTAATATTGAATCAGAGATTGTAGAAAATCAGAAGTTACCTCATGACTCTCGAATCTATACATCAAATGAAAATAGCTCTCATGTAACATTAATTGCTCTTTCGCATTACAAAAATGAACAACGCTGTAAATAAATGATTATTACGACGAAGATAACTCGTTCCAACTTCCAATTCGTTATTGAGTCTCTGTCAATACGTAAAGAATATTTGTAAAAGATTCGACATGTGCAATCGGATTTTCCTATTTTGCTGGTGTTAAATTATCTTTATTTTTCTCTATGCATATGCCTAAGTTATACAAGTTTTATTATTAAGACTGTTTTACATTAATGTTTTACAGAGAAGATATTGAAACATTTATCTTTAATTTAAGAGTGATATATTATCTACGTGTAAATATAAAATGTTTTTTATATTTAAAGAAATCGTAGATGATGTCTAAACTTTATCATTTACATATCTAAAATTATCTGATTGATTAATTGATAAAAACGTTTTTACTACACGTCATATATGTGAATTTCTCACATCATATATTGTAATATAGAGATTGTTATAGCAATATGGAAAATAACAATTTTTTTATTGTAATATCAATTTAATAGGCACTAAATTGACTCACCTACGCGCACACGCG